AGATATGGATAGTGTTGTTTTGTTAGGTTAGTTTTAAGCAGTACATTTGTTTCTGTTTAGCACCGAAAGTGGATGGGAAACAAGATTTTAGTAAACGTTTTAAATCGAGCCAGTTGATACTGCTGCTAGCCGAGGATGAATTTGATGTCATTGTGGAGTTTCTACTAACTTTCGAATTTAAACTCGGGAACAAAGATTGCCATACGTTGTTAAATGAAGTTTATGAAATCACACAGGAGCGGGTGACATATGTGGCTAACAATCTAATGAATAATATACCATTTCGTGGTCGATTACGTAACGAGGTTGTAAAAACATGTCAAGAGGAGTGAATTTGAAGGAGAGGTAAGTTCCAATAAAAGGATTCAATTGTGATAAAGTGATCCTTTTTTGTATGTAATTTTCTTTGGATTTCTATAAGTCTTTCAATTATCCTAGGGATGGGAATGACGATAATGATAAGGAGAATGTTGGGAGTGACAATGCTGTTACATCAAGTGCTGGTGTTAGTGTGAATGCTTTCAATCAGTTAGTGAAGCAAATTATATCTATAGCAATTATATTTATCTTTCGTATGACTTGAAATGGGACAGACATATTGATAATATTGCCTCAAAAGGGGAATCCCTTGTTGGGCTGATGAGATGGCACTCTAGACTTCTGAATAAGGCGGTTCTAGATCTTATTTACGAGGCTTTTGTGCTTTCGCTTTTTAACTATGGATCTATTTTATTCTCTTTTACTACTCAGCATAATCTAGATAAATTGGAGGCTGTACAGTACCATGCTTCTCTAGTCGTTTTGGGTGCGATGAAAGGTAGCTCGGAGGAGAAACTTAGGACTATATTAGGTTGGCTGTCCATTAAAGAACACTTTTATATCACTCAGATCGTTTTCTACTCTAAAATTGTACATGGTCTTGCCCCAGAATATCTGCGATCTCAAATCCAGCAACAACAAACTAATGCTGTACATAATTTAAGAAGTAACAGGCAAACTATAATGCAACCTGTAAATACGCGCCATAGCTCTTTTTTTACTCTACTCTCTAAGAAATGGAAAGAATTAGATCCAACATTATACTTATTAAAGGCGAAACCATTACGTAAAAAGCTGAAACAGAATGCTTTGGATTTGCGTAGCGAATCCCCTTTTAAAAAAAGTCTCATTTTTCCATCACGACAAGCTGAAATACTTTTTATGCGATTGAAATGTGGAAATCCCCAACTAAATGCCAATTTACACTCCAAAAGATGTGTTTCATCCCCTTTTTGTGCATGTCGAGGAGCTAACGAAACAGTAAAGCACTATTTATTAGATTGTTCAACGTATGTTTTAGAAAGAACCGATCTGCCATCCGGTTTAAACTTCTTGCCTTCTGTATCGGTGGCTAGTTTATTGGGAGTTCGTGGGAGATGTTTGGGCGAGAGTCAAGTTATTCTAAATGAGATATGCCGATATATACTACGGACAGTGCGATTCTGAGAAGTTTCCGTTTCCTCTCCCTGCCAATACAACTAGACAGTAGAAGTGAATATTCAAAAATCCGAATGACCATCTCGTGCGTGAGCTTTCTCTTTACCTTTTTCTTCCTTTCTCCTTCTAAGCTCATTATACGTTCTTTTTTATACATTTTAAGGCGCACATATGGCAAAAGCCGCTTGCGCAATCGTTCTTTTTTCTTTTTCAATAAAAAGTTTATAACAAATTATAATATTACAGCAGCCATAACAACGGCAACAACGTCCGAAGAACAACAGCAGCAACCAATAACGTCTTTCTTTGTATCAACAAAACGTCGTATTGGTAAAGGAGGTTCAAGAAATAGTACAAGTGCCAGTGTTGACACCATCGATGATTCATTTGGCAACGAAGAGACAAACAGCAAAAAGATAAATGTTCATGTCGTTAAAGAAAAACAGTCAAATATGTGGGTACCATCTTGAAAAAACGAAAACATTCTTATTAGAAAACATTTTATTTCATTTTAGTGTCCCAAAAAAAATACGACGTGATTTGGCGAATTTAAGGAAAGATTTAATGAATTTTCCGATACCTGCCAAACGAGTAAAAAACCAAGACGGATAAAATCATAAAAATCAACCGGATTTTCGTATGGACACTATGTGTTTATTTGTTTTCTGTCAGATATTCAAGCGCGATGTCAATAATGATCTTCTATTCTATAGTAGACTAACTAGTCATTAAATAAATTTTTCTTTTTTTCAATATGTATATATATACGTTTGGAACAACATGATATATAGTTTTGGTTGTGTAACATGTGGCGTTCTGATGACGTTCGATCAAACCTCATATCTAGACCTAATCCTTAGACTGTGTCATAATGTGTACTGTATTAGAGTAAATGCTATTGCGTCATCAACAACTGATTTCGTCGTCTGTAGACACAGCAATGCATGTCCAAATAGAGCCATTTTTAATGTAAATATTTTGTGTTTAGATATATGATATGAATCAAAAATTCTCCGCTTTAAAACAAAGTGAACTTAAACTCATTTTTGATAAAAATGAAAAAATTATTAAATTGCCCCAAGATGTCAAAGGTGGAGATATTTATTCTCTCTTATTGAATGAAAGCACGACAAGTAATTTAAGAAAATGCCAAATATTCTTCGTTATTAAGAGAGAGTCCACGGAGCTATCGAAAAAGTCCATAAAATGTCTTCCATATTAATTTTTATCCTTTCTAGACGACTGGCGTGCCGATGGGTTTCAGTGGATTCATGGTGGACAAGATTATCTGAAAAAATTGAAAAAGCCGGTGTATTTTAAATATTATTTTCGTGCAAAAGAAATTAACAGTGATGAGAATGACAGTAATGAAATAATAACAACAACAACGACAGACGACGGCAAATATTTTTAAAACATGTCTATATCGATTTAGAAAATCATTGTCACGTGATTGTTCATTATTTAGATAAGAAAAATCTCTTAATGAGAGGAATTCAAAATAATAGAAAAGTACTTAAACAAACAGGTTGCAACTTAAAAGTCAGGACCTAGAGGTTATGCACCATGCCGAATCCAATGATAATATCAGTTTTCTTTCATTTTGACTTTCATAATGGGATTCTGGAAAACCTGAATTTTGAGCTTACAGGTCTTGGGATCATTTTTATAAAAAAATCTACGATAATTGAAATTTTTATTCAATGCACTCATCGAATCGAGCACATTGCACTCTATCTAAAACTTATTTTGATAAAAAAATTTTTATTTTTGGAGATTCTGAGCGGTTTTTCGCCGAAAAACCAAGGTTTTCTGGAGATCTTCTCTTGTAGCTAGAGCTGGAAAGTTAAAATTTTTTTGTTTTTTGTTTTGAACTTGCTAAACTATGTAGTTCAAATGTATGAGGTTGCCAAAATTATATCCCAATAACTTAAGGTTTTCTAGGAGTTTTCTACAAACCTCCTAAGGGCTTGGCAACTGTCAAAATAAATATTGGAGTTAAAATTAAATTTTTTTCATAGATATATATGTAAGCCTTGTTTTCTTGTCCGTTGGTCAGTGAACAAATGTTATATTGTGATTTCTTCTGAATTCACCTTTTAATATCCAAAGATGCAAATAACTGATACACTCACACTTTATTATAAAAAATCAG